GCCTCGGAATCGTATTACAGCAAGAAGGTCAACCAGTCACATACTTGAGTAGAGCCCTCACGCCTGCGGAAACGAGATATTTGCAGATAGAGAAGGAACTGTTGGCCCAAGTGTTTGGTTTGAAGCGGAACCACCAGAACACATACACAGTGGTGCTGTGGACAGACCATCAGCCTCTGGTGTCCATAAGCCGTAAACCACTAGCAGTAGCGCCCAAGAGACTACAGTGTTTGCTCATCCGACTGAAACAGTACGATGTGGACATACGCTATAAGCAAGGAAATGTATCTCACAGATACATTGTCTCGTGCGTATCTAAAGAACACTGAACGTTCACCAGTAGAGGCAGAGACAGAAAGCATCCACATGATGGACGATCTGTCCATCTCGACGAAAACCCAGGTAATGATCGTGCGCGCCACAGAAGAAGACGCGAACCTTCAAACCGTCAAAGGCTTCATCGCAACAGGCTGGCCCGACAGCGAAGGCCAGCTGCCAGCTGTGGCACGCCCCTTTTTCAGCATCCGCGATGAACTGACATACCTAGATGGAGTTATATTCCGCGGTAAATGCTGTGTCATCCCAAAGGCAGCAAGACCACGAGTGCACGAGCGTCTACACAGCACACATACAGGAGTACAAGGCACACTAAGAAGAGTGCGAGATCTTGTCTATTGGCCGGGAATGACTCGTGACTTATCAGACTATATCTCAGCCTGTGAAACTTGCAACAAATACCAACCACAGCAGCAGAGCGAACCCCTGATCTCACATAAAACACCAGATCGACCCTGGCAGAAGATTGGCATAGACTTATGCACTGTTGACAACATGGACTACCTGTGCAGTGTTGACTACTTCTCTGATTTTTTCGAAGTTGACATTCTGCCCCACAGCAAAGACGCAAAGGCTGTCATTAAAAGACTGAAACGCCACTTTGCTGCATAAGGCATACCAGAGACAGTGTACTCCGATAATGGACCACCATTCAGCTCCAAGGAGTTCGCGGACTTTGCCAATGAGTACGAGTTCACCCATGTCACCAGCTCTCCACAGTATCCACAGAGTAATGACAAAGTTGAGAGCACGGTAAAAATTGCAAAGAGGCTCATTCGCAAAACTAAGGATAGTCATGGGGATATTTACCTCGCTCTGTTAGCCTGGAGGAAAACTCCAACAGGAGGCTTAAACAGCTCCCCTGCTCAGCGTTTCTATGGACCCGTACGAAGACCAATCTGCCTACAAAAGCACAACCGCTGGTGCCATCACAACAACCCCAACAGGCCATCCTTGCCCAAAGGAGCATCAAGCAGGCCAAGCAGAAACCGTATTTCGACAAACATGCCAAAGCCCTACCCCGTCCCCAGCCTGGAGACACGGTACGCATACTTCCCAAAACAAATTCCGAAGTTTGGGAAAAAGCACAAGTCTAGGAGCAAGTCAATATCCGTTCGTACAAAGTGATTACAGAGGATGGTCAGGAATTTCGCCGTAATCGGAAGCACCTCAGACGCACCGCAGAAAGATACGTCCCGCCCTACGACCCGCAGTTTCAGTCAGAAGGCCCAGCTTCAGAAAATCAGAGCAGCCAGGCTGACCAAACACATACACAGAGCAACAAAATCCACGACGCAGCACACGTGAACAGAAACCATCAAGCTATATAAAGGACTATGTCACATGAACATTGGACAAGGAGCACCATCAGGAACGGACTTTATTGACTTTTGGAGTTTATCTAACTACATACCTGTATTGCAAGTTGAGGTACAAAAAAAAATGGAGAAAAACAAAAAACAAATGAATGCACACCTCACCATGAAAAAAAGGGCATATTGGAAAGTTAAAAAAAAAAACACAAAACAAAACAGGCTAGTGCCTTAGGAGCATTTAAGTGGGTCTGTTGTATTGTTAATTTAAGAAGTTAAAACATCGGTCCTGTATTAAGTAATGTAAGTCCTGATAAGTCGTTATTTTTGTTTGTTTTTAGAAGGAAAGGTGTTAATATAATGCTCTAGCGCCCTCTTGTGGTAAGACCTTCGGGGTGATTGACCGGGCTGGGGAGGTCACGTTGTTGCTAACTGTATGCTCATGTATCCTTAAATTGCCTCTTAAAGCTGAAGCCCCTTTATTAAGCTGCAACACCAAACGCATCACATTGTTTTTATTGCCCCACAGCATAATCAATATTTTTTATTCTGAGCACCCAACCTACCAAAAATAATAATCCTCCCCGTCTCAGCATTTCTCTTCAATCCAAATTGGACCATGTGTGTTTTAAATTTTTTTTCCCACCCCACTGCTTAATAATTTTTATTCCAGGCATCCAACCCAACAAAATCAATCCCTCCCATCTCATCATTCGTTATCCAAACCTGGATCATATGTGGTTTGTTTTTTTTTGCTGCCCTACCACTAATTAAAAAAATTATTTTGAGCATCCAACCCACTTAATTTTCCATCTAAACTTGGATCACGTGTAGATTTTTTTCCTGCCCAGGCGCTGAATATTTTGTTATTTGGAGCATCCAACCCACTAAAATTATTGATCATTTCCATCTCAGCATTTCTTTCCTATCTAAACCTGGATCACGTGTGGTGTTTATTTTTTTCCCTGACCCACCACACTTTTTTCTGCATTCTTTTTCCAGGCATTCAACCCTCCAAATATTTTGATTCTGCCCGTCTCAGTATTTCTTTATCCAAACGTGGATGACATGTTGTATGTAGTTTCTACTGCCCCACCCCTAAATATTTGTTTTATTCCAACCACCTAACCCACCAAAAATGTTAATTCTTCCCATTTCAGCATTTCTTTATCCGTACCTGGATCACATGCGGTGTTTATTTTTTGTTGCCCCACCGATAAATACATTTTTTTCTTGAGCATTTGACCAACCAGAAATATTAATCCTTTCCATCCAGGCATATCCAGTGGATTTTTTCTTTCTACAAATAATACTTCATAGGTAAGTAGGAAAGAAAGTAATCTGTATATTTATTTATCAAATAATAGCAACCAAAACTAAGAAAACAATGCCATTTGTTTTTTTGCTCCCTCACCATCATGTTGAATGAATGGAAGCCTCATTCACTTTTGAATATGCCCCCCCACACTAAAAAGCTGGACACATTGCTGTGTCCATCTCAGCATTTCTTTATCAAAACGTGGATCACGTGCAGTTTTTACCTTTTTTAATTCCCTGCATTGTCATTCAAAACCTCCTTTCTTCTATTTTACAAATGCAGACATATTAACATCTCACTGAGCCTTTTATGTATAATTGCCCACAATACTAATGATTGAGGAGTTTATAATACAATAAAGCAATAATATGAAGGAGGTCATTGATGCTTGTTTGGTTTGAATGACCCAAACCCCAATTTTTATAAGAATGCATTTAAGCCAGTGTGTTCCGTGTAATGTGTTTTCAATGTTGTCTTAAAATCAATGTCATCAATGTATTTGCACTTTCTTCACACTAAAATCGTGTTGTAAATTGATATTTCCAGAAACGCTTCATTTCAGATCCACAAGACTTGTTTAACCATTTCATTTTATTTTTTACTGAAAGCGTAAACCCCGGCAAAATACAGCTGGCTTGATAATGAGAATTTGTATTTGATATTAGTGGTTCTTGGTTAACAACAATCAATTCAAGATGGAAATGGAAGCTATTTGTAATGAAAATTAAAGGTATTATTTCATCTCTAATAAGCCCAAAACCTGCAATGTTTTGAAAGCCATGCATTCAAATAGAAGAGGCCACTGGGGTTAAATCATCTGTCCACCTGAGTCCTGACAACACTGATGAGCTAGCTGGCCCCTAAAACTACCGTATAGTTTGTCTCCTTTTTTTGTATATGCCTGTTAATGAAACACCTTAATTATCGTCAATCATTGCAGTTGGGATCTAATCGAAAAACTAATTTTTTAACACTTCACTTGCGGTTTTAAAAGTTAATGCCAGTGGTGGATATCCGCATCTCTTTATTCATATTTAAATTACCGATACTCCTGCAATGCTGCCAGCAGATTATCTGCTGAATGTCAGCCATATTAATTTAATTGCTAAAACATCAGTCCTGTATTAAGTAATGTAAGTCCTGATAAGTCGTTATTTTTGTTTGTATTTAGAAGGAAAGGTGTTAATATAATGCTCTAGCGCCCTCTTGTGGTAAGACCTTCGGGGTGATTGACCGGGCTGGGGAGGTCACGTTGTTGCTAACTGTATGCTCATGTATCCTTATCATTGCAGTTGGGATCTAATCGAAAAACTAATTTTTTAACACTTCACTTGCGGTTTTAAAAGTTAATGCCAGTGGTGGATATCCGCATCTCTTTATTCATATTTAAATTACCGATACTCCTGCAATGCTGCCAGCAGATTATCTGCTGAATGTCAGCCATATTAATTTAATTGCTAATTTACATGAGCCAGCCATATTGTGTACCATACACAAACTGGCCTGGTTGTGAAGGGCTCTTTTGTTTGGTACAGGTGAGCATACTTGTGTAAAATCTGCAGATTGTCTGCGTCTTTGAACGGGTGGTCAACTTGGGGACAATGTCTATTCTTTTCTTTATTATTAGTATTATTTATTTCTGGTAATGACACCAAGGATTCCTCAAAAGTGCCCTAGGCAATGTAGCTCACAAGCCTGAAAAAACCTGTAGAGAGGAAACAATAAGAAGCAGTTACAGTTTAGAGGTGGGAGGAAAACCCCTGGGAAATATTCTGGGTAAAACCCATGGAATCAGATCAAGACTGAAAACCCAACCCACGTGGGCACGGTGGGCTGAGCCTGGAATTTAACCCGGACTGCAGGTCTGAGGCAGGGAAAGAACCACTATGCTTATGGGCTTACCCGACACCTGACACCCTGCAATATAACAGTGAACATCGGACTGAGAACAGTGTTTGGTCACAAGTATTATATATTAAGTGTAGGTCTTTGGCACACAGAGTAAACACGCATTCCAAAAGTGTAGTACTCACCTGATTACATTTGGGTGTGGAACACTGATAACTTGATCTTCCTCAGAGGCACCAATGTCTGGGGATTTATGTACTTCAGGTATGTCTTGCAATGTCTCTATCTGATGTTCTGGGAGTATCTCATCTGGTAAATCCATGATCAACATCTGGTCACCAGGAATAGTTACCTCTTCCTCAATACTCTTCTCTGTCAGACGACGCTTGTGCCTAAGACAGACCATAAAATATCCATAAGTTTGTGTTTCACCTGATGTAAAGTTATCCTTGAGAATGGAACAGATTTTTAACAGGAAGACATCTATTAATAACTGATGATAAACAAAATTGAGTCTTTTCCCTTTATTGGTGAGGGCATTTTGTTATTTTGTAGACCAAATCTACTGCGACAAAGATCAGCATGGAACTGAATCAAACTGTACTGGTCATTATGAATGTGCATCCATGATGAGGACTATGGTAAGGTGGGAAAGTTAGGAAAGATAATCATCGGCTAACCATGTGTGACGGCAAAATGTTCTTTTCTAGTGGCTACAATAAGTTTTTATTTACTCGGAATTAATAATTTAAAAAAAAGGTTGGTACAGTAGCTACACGGAAACAAAGAAGAAAGAAGAAAAATCTGAAGTAAATTCTAAAATCAAATCAAAATGATGCACATAATCGGAAGGCAAACAGCTATTACTCTGTAAAGAAAACATAATATAGTTTCCCCAAAGTCATAACAGTGTCCTTCATTGGGTACAGTTCTGGCAGATCTATAGTGCCTGGCTCAGTTGCCTCCCCCTAAATAAACAATTCACTAGCCACTGCTGCATTGTCCAACACTGCAGTAGAAAAGACTAATACATACTAATGAGCAAGGAACAGGTGACTATAATTAAGCCTCCTGCCAGGA